AGACTGACAGAACACAAGCCATCATCCCATAAACATTCTGTTACTGTTTCACAAATGTTGTAAGCATTATTGTCTACTGGAAAACGGTTATGCTGATCATACACAGGGCACTTGCAGATACAAATGCAACCTCTTTAAATTGCAAAAAAAGCAACTGAACAGATCAAGACAACCTGCCAGCAACAGTTTATATTGTCATATGACAGGAATGCTGGAAGGCTGCCTGTGTGTATGGCCAGCCTAAAGGTTTACTCAAAGCCTTTACTACTAATGAATGCTGGTGGGTTTATTTAGGTGGAAGCCCAGAGATCTAAGCAACAAATATCCACCAACATATATCTAGTATTTGATATCAGTTTAGGCTGAAATTAGACTTCATTATTGATATACAGTATGCATTTAGTTATAGAGGAACAATAACAAGCTCACTTAAAGCTGAAATGTGGGTTAGAAAAATATTGTCTGAATACAAGCGTCATGTTTATTCTTTCTTGAACCTCGGTGTCCTTCTGTATTTCCTCTGTACATTAATCAAACATAAAACTCCTGCACTTTGTCTTTGTTCAGGAGTTACCTGTAATGCAGACTAGTCCGAGCTGCTCTCTCTCCTCATGTAGTGTGACTGGTCTTGTATCTGCCTCCCCGCAAAAGGTGATGTGTAGAATAGGGATGATGTCCACACTACTTTTACAAGACAACATCTTCATTTTCACAGGTATTCTATGTGGCTAGTGGGAAACTTTTTTGTACCTTGGGTTCAGCTTTAAAGCATCTACCATTTGAAGATTACCCTGCAATGATCTCCTTTTAAAGGAAAGGCAAAAATTGATTATAAATCCAAATCCACATTTTCTGAGAATGCACCTTCAGTCTAAAACTCACAACAGTTATGAAAAACAAAGTCTGCTTACTGATCGAATACATTTTGTCTTCTTTAAAATAGCATCCTAGGTTATAAAAGGTCACCCAAAAAAAAAATCTATAATTCTGTTGTGAACATATATGCAGTGTAAGCAGGCTGGGTATCTACTGTAACTATCCAACACCTAATCGTACCAAAAAGAAAATACTTTAATATCAAGCTTTAAAGTGGGCTAAATATAAAGGGGCTGTTTGGAAAATGTAAGTGCCAGTATTTCTTTGCTTTAAGTACACATCAGTCTTTGTCATCGTGACGATGTTTCCTTAAGGCCTAAATTCAGACTTGGGGTTGGCCTGTCTGAGTGGGATATTTCAGGCCTAGCTCATGTGATGAATTAGAGATATTGTGTAATGTAAAAAAAAAAAAAAAATCATCTGCATGAAAGGAAAAAAATAAAAATAAAAAATCAGAACAGTTTCATCAGCTACTCTGATTGGTAGTAGTTCTTTATAAATGAGACCAAGTTTATAAGAATGCAGCCTATTAACTTACACAAAAATCTTACCTGCATGTCTGGAGAGTCCTTCAAGCACCCACTATGATGTTGTTAAAAAATGGAATTAGATGCAGGGTTAATGCTCTTTAAGGAGAACTATGGGGTCAGGGCTTTTGCCCATAGTTCTCCTAAATGCATAGGGAGGACACAAACTAGTGTACACCCGTCACCCTAGGCTCAGTATACCACGAGCTACAGCACGCGGTATTACGCGGCATTACTGTCGCAGAATTACTGTCGGGAGCCACCCGGCTGAGGGATTGACAGCTGGCTCTGCCTATCTAGAGGCAGAGCCAGCTGTGCTCTCCCCCGTCCGTTCAGCCAGTCAGCGCTGGAGGATCGGACAGAGGAGGTGTGGAATCCCTGCAGGGAGCCGTGAGTGACAGTTACGGCTCTCTGTAGGGATAGATCGAGAAGTGAGTGAGCGATGGTATGTGTTCGCTCACTTTCCGATCTTTTGAGCCGACCTGTGACAGCTTCATTGTCACAAGTCGGCTAGAACTATGAGGCTGAGTGATTTTCACTCGCCTCATAATTCTCCTTTAATACATGCATGAAACACCACCTAATTCAGGTAAGACTTGCAATCTTCACTGTAATATTGCTGAGGGTGCTAGTGGAAACAGAGCCAGTGATATTGTGCTTACATAACTCTTTGGCTCAACCGGCAAAGCTAAAACTGCAGGACAAAGATCCTATTTTTTGAAAAATGATTATTTAGTTATTTTCAGCTAAGTCCAATGAGATTTAGAAAATTAAACTAACATGGCTGAAAAAAAAGGATGCTTATCCTTCTGTAAAGCTTTGAAAATGGAGCCTATAAAGTGTTGGCGGAAACACCAAGTCAGATTGAAGTGGAACTTTAGCGTGTAAACAAACAATTTTTACCAGGCAGGTTCTTTTTGCAAAGGAAACTGTATGTCTTCTGCAGCAGAAGCTTTCTACATGCTGCTAGTAAGATTCTACATTCAGGTGCACATAAGCACTCCGTGTACATTCTCAGCGTGCCAAGATTAATTAAGTTATCTTATCCTTGGCCGGCTAATTAAGATGGCGAAGGTGCCAAACTCAGAGGAAGACTGTGCGAATATGTCAGCGGCAGTGAGGAAGAATGCCGACATTGCATCACTGGAGGTTGGTTTGAGAGGGAAGTTCAGCAGACTGAAATTCTGCTTTAAAAGATTATTAAACCCTCTGGTGTTTTTGCGTATATCTAGTGCTAGCAAGCAGTAGATATGCAAAAATGTTTAAAAAAAATGATCTTTTCAAACAGGTTTAAAAAGTTACCTGTGTCTTCGCCGCGCACTCCAGTCCGAACATCTGAATAGTCTCGGGCGGCCGCAAAGGATCTTGGGACGGACGCATGCGCAGTTCAGATGTTCAGCCGAGAGACGAGGAGAGACACAAGGTAAGTCTATGGAGCAGCATGCACCCGCACAGACACCGTGGAACATCAGAGGAGAGGAAGATAGAGGAAGAGGAGGACAGTGGAGTCAGCGCTGGATCAGAGACCCGCACCAGCACTGGAGCGACATATGAAAACTACACTAAATGA